TGTGCTCATAGGGTTCTCACTATCAAGATTTAAAATACTTGATACTCTCGTCACGGTTCTACCTTTCTAAGGACATATATCAATACATACAATGATGATTTACGCGATATAGTATAAAATGCCTTTTTATTGATCAATGAACATTATTACAAAGAGTCAATTCTACAATAATTGATTGGCTCTAGGACATCTACTCTAACAAGAGGCTCCAACAGCTATACGCTCAAGGAGTTTGCTGATCCGCCTATCAAGATCGACCTTAGCAGCCTCAGCCCGTTTTCCCTTAGTGCATTGCAGGGGCAAGCTTTCTCTACTTCCGATCTGAATGGCAGCCTCAACTACCAGAGCGAACTTCTTCAAGGCCACGCTCTTGACCAAGACCTTCTTGAGCCAAAAGCGGGCTTGGCAACTTTCTTTCCCGAGCCTTCCAACTACTCGATCGATTTCTTTTTCCTGAGCCCCCCTATTGCTCAGACAATTTCTTTTTTCTCCAGCCCTCCTGCTGCTCGGTCATGTTCTTCTTTCTTCCACCGACTCGAAGTTGTTAGGAAACGATCAAGTCATGGCAATGGAAAACAAAAATTATTTACAACATGGATCGTATCCTTAGAACCAAGATCAGGGCACAAATTTACAGTTTATACATTATATTAGAATCTGCAGAAAAAATCAGTTTAAGGTAGGATCGAACCAGCGGTAGTCCAAACAAAGATAACCCCAAGGAACTAAAGAGGGATTTGCTAGATCCTCTTTAGCCTTAAGAACCAAGAACAAAATCAATAATATTTTGATTCAACACAAAAGCAATCTGGCGTGGGAAGAGAGAAAAGGGGGCTGGAATTTTTAATCTTAATGATTGAATAAAATGTTATTTCATTTCACAAAAATTCTACACTTATATAGTGCACACAATGCCCTATTCCCTCATGGAATAGGCTTGGGCACCAACCCAAACAACCGCTATGTCCAAACAACCCCATTTAGATATTTTAATTACTATTATTATTATTTCAATTAAATTAAATTAATATATATATATTAACATTTAACAGTAACAATAGTTCATTTAAATATATGAGAACACATATTTAAATATAATCTCACTTATTTAATTTTTAATATCAAATTAAATCAAGGCTACGACCTCAGCAAATTTAATTGCACTGTGAGATTACCAAAATACCTTTTTGCCTAAAAAGACGAAAACGCCCTTCTTATAAACTGGTTCTTAAATTATCTTCTATTTGTGTGACCCATAGGCACCTTATCATACCGGTAGTGTGCAGTATCACGATTAACACCAATTATTCATCTCACTATACACAGACCAAGATTGGCCCCTATCAAGGCATCATGACCACCCGATTGATTCGGATTTAGCAAAGTAGCTACCTGTCAACGATATGGTTATCGTGCAATTCGATCCTTTCATCATCTGTTATCTCGATGAGACCAAGGCATAGAAATAGTGTCAACCTCAGTTACTCTCAATATGTATGTATTCAGTTACTAGACCAATGACCTGAATTATAAACTGGATCGAGCAACAACTCCATCCCACTGTGGCCATAGTTTTAGTGTCATTGCCATTTATTGAATTACGCCGTGAGATAACTTCTCCCATACTCGGGAGTGATGAATCATCTGTCGATCCACCATAGTCTTGATACACTCCTTAATGCAGCCAATCACTACCGTATTGACATCTCTAAATAGAACAACGTTAGGCTAGTGTCAAATTGCACCAATCGGTGCACAAGTGTAAAAGCCCTCCGTAGCTGGGTATTTCCTAAGTATCCCTTGGCCATTGAGAACCTAGAAAACGCACGCCTAGAAAAGAAGTTTATTTTAAAATCCTATTTAAAGAATAAACCTGTAGTTTAAAAAATATATATATTTTTATTTTAATTTAATTTCTAAACTATAATAAGTTCATTGTACAAGTCAAAAAAAAATATAGTTTCCTTTCTTGGAGTACATTATGAAATCCATAGTAGTACTTACGAGAACATACACACTTTTACAAAATTTACTAGCAATTTGATTTCCTTCATTAACACAAACATATATACTCCATAATAACATGGACATATTTACTGCATTGTGAGATATAAACATAATTACTATACTAAATACTAGCAAAACAATTCAATAGTCATCATTAAAACATCCTTTTATTCTCATAGCGTCCCTCGGAATCCTCTCCCAGCTTCATGCCTTAATCCTTAACTGCAAAACATTTTAAAACATTTCGTGGGGTGAGCGCTAATCGCTCAGTAAGGAATATGGCCATTTATAAACTATTAAGGTTCATTATACANGATCCTTTCATCATCCATTATCTCGACAAGACCAAGGCATAGAAATAGTGTCAACCTCAGTTACTCTCAATATGTATGTATTCAGTTACTAGACCAATGACTGAATTATAAACTGGATCGAGCAACAACTCAATCCCACTGTGGCCACAGTTTTAGTATCATTGCCATTTATTGAATTACGCCGTGAGATAACTTCTCCCGTACTTGGGATTGATGAATCCTCTGTCAATCCACCATAGTCTTGATACACTCCTTAATGCAGCCAATCACTACCGTATTGACAGCTCTAAATAGAGCCGCGTTGGGCTAGTGTCAAATTGTACCAATCGGTGCACAAGTGTAAAACCCCTCCCTAGCCGGGTATTTCCTAAGTATCCCTTGGCCATTGAGAACCTAGAAAACGCACGCCTAGGAAAGAAGTTTATTCTAAAATCCTATTTAAAGAATAAACCTGTAGTTTAAAAAATATATATATTTTTATTTTAATTTAATTTCTAAACTATAATAAGTTCATTGTACAAGTCAAAAATTATATAGTTTCCTTTCTTGGAGTACATTATGAAATCCATAGTAGTACTTACGAGAACATACACACTTTTACAAAATTTACTACCAATTTGATTTCCTGTATTAACACAAACATATATACTCCATAATAACATGGACATATTTACTGCATTATGAGATATAAACATAATTACTACACTAAATACTAGCAAAACAATTCAATAGTCATCATTAAAACATCCCTTTATGCTCATAGCGTCCCTCGAAATCCTCTCCCAGCTTCATGCCTTAATCCTTACCCGCAAAACATTTTAAAACATTTCGTGGGGTGAGTGCTAATCGCTCAGTAAGGAATACGGCCATTTATAAACTATTAAGGTTCATTATACAAGTATATTACTTAGGACCTTACCTACCTACAAAACATGACCTTCATTCTTTGACATAACAAGTTCATAAAACATATCATACACTTTGGACTTTTCTCATAAACATAAGTCACAACATAACCATACATAATATAACATAGAACATTTATGACTTATGAAATATTCATGTACATGACATGCTTATTTCTTTTGTCTTCATACTTGATGGTTTCATTAGTCTTTGTTATTCGATTGGATTCATTTGAACCATTACCTTGTTCTTGGTCGTCACCTCAAAGGACTCATGGTTTCCATAAGAATTCCATTCCTCTGATCTTGGTTTATACATCAAGAGACTCACGGAATTCATTCTTTAACATTTCATAAATTTTTCATATAAGGGCGTTTTGGTCATTTCCACCACAACATAATGATTAGCACTCATTTAATGCCATTTGACTTCTTTAAAACACTTAACAATTAAGCAATCCCATTAGGTAAATGACTAATTTACCCTTTTTGCACTTTTATGGATACTTATTTCATATGGATTTGTATGAAAAGACCATTATACCCTTAGTTACCGTTTACGCCATTTAACCATATCAATCAACTTTATGACCATTCTACCCTTATTTCTCTGCAATGACATCACCCCTTAGACTTTACAATGGCCACATCTCGAAATATATGTAAATTGACCATTTTACGCTTCCATTCAAAAAAAGAAAATTACTTGAAAAGGTAAATTTCATACCTTAGGGCATCGGAATAATAACGCGGGGTTTACAACAAGGCGCTTCGATGATCTCAAGTCTAAGGATCACATGCACCACCATTCGTTAGAGGATTTGTTCCATAGACGTTGGGGTTACCATCCATATCGAATTCTCTGGTGGGTCAGTCCAGTGAACTTGCCTACAGCAAGCACACATGTGTTGTACCAAGTTGTCACTAAACAACCTTGACAAGTGAGATTAGTCACTGCCTTTCGACAGGGTCGTTCAACACTATGATAGCATTACCGTATTATATGTGCCCTTACTTTAGAATAATACTAGGGCTACGGACGTTTCTAGAATGGCCACTATATAAGCTCATAGGGTTCTTACTATCAAGATTTGAAACACTTGATACCCTCGTCATGGTTCTACCATTCTAAGGACATATATCAATACATACAATAATGATTTATGTGATATAGAATAAAATGCCTTTTTATTGATCAATGAACATTATTACAAAAAGTCAATTCTACAATAATTGATTGGCTCTAGGGCACCCACTCTAATAGAAGTGTTTCTTCATTGAGCCCTTGTGGAGGGCGGGAGTTTCTTTTTGCGCAACTGCTTTGGAAGCTGTTGCAGGCTTTTTAAGCACTTGGACCTTCCCCAAGCTCTCCACCGGTTCGTTTGAAGGTCAGTCGCGAGGAACCTACCCTAGTCACCCTGATAAAACCCACAAGCTTCTTCTTCGCCGAGATTGTTGGTTGAGCTGCCATTTTCCTTCTCAAGTTCTTCGGCTTGTCGACCCACATATCTGCAAAGAGAGCAAAATTGTTAATGACCTATCAAAGTGGAAATGTAAAGAGTGAGCTATTGAACACTTACCTTTCTCAAAGATTGTGTAGAATTTTGTAGCACCATTTCAAAAACCGTACGCTATTAAACGAAAGAGCGTGATAAGCTGGGTAACGTCACGCTCACTATTGGGAAGCCCGCTAAAACGTTGAAGCCGCTCTCAGCTCACTGTAGAGATAAAGTTTTGCTTAACGTTTACTGCAAAATGAAGAAGGTGTAGGGTTAGTTCACTTGCTTGACTAGAGAACCCTATGTTTCGCACAAAGATCATAGTACTTTCTAGCCTCTGAGGCAAAAATGCTAGTTTCCTCGGCTTCATAAAAGAAATATTGGGAGTCCTAATTCCCAACCTTCTTTAAGACTCTGACCAAACCATTCAGGTGTACTTTCCTCACTTTAGAGAGGTAATACGTCTTATCTTGGCTTTTCTTTAAGCTATACAGGTGGACAAGCTCATCCACTAATAGCTCACCTAATTCATATATCTGGTATGCTATGTACATTCCTACAATTATTAGGATTGAGTTCTTTGTGAGTTGGAGGGGAGCAATGCTAAACCTTCTTAGTACGTCGGCAATAAAGAAATGAGGTGGGACAAACATTCCACACCTCATAAGGATGTCAGAGATCGCCGCCCAACCTCTGGGGGGATCTTTTTGGGAAATATTTCCCGAAGCACTCAACGGGAGTTGAATCGCATAAATATCCTTTACGCGTTGAAGATCCTTGTCTCCAATCGAGGAACTTGGCTTTCCTAAATCTAAGGGCCAGCAAGCCCCTTGGTGAGGGAAGCTTGGTAGAGGCATTGTTCGAAGAACTCGCCACATCACTGTTTGAACTCCTCACGATGGTATCCTCATACACCTCGTCTAGGAGTCCTCCCCTGCGAACTGCTAAGGTCGCCGAGGAGTCGAAAAGTAGATTTATCTTGTGACTGTTGGATGAAGACATGGTAGTAACACGCCTTTGGATACCTGAAACAGAATTAACCAAGTGTCAGAATTTAAAATATCAGCGACCTATCCACACTTGCTTTCAATTCAGGCATCCAGGATAAGAGGTACAAGCGAACTATCAAGATTCCAACGGCCACCTCCCTAAACCCTTCTAAAACCCAAACCAGTGGGTATACTCAAAAAACCCTAAAACCGCTAGTGTGGCCACGACAATGGCCACCCTCAACAACAAAGAAAGCTTTGAAGAAAGAGAAGGATGAGAACAAGAGCCTCACCGGAGTGTGAAACACGGTAAGAAATCGCTGGAAGATCGTCGTAGGTCTGAAGAAGCAACGACGGAGAATAGATAGCAACCAAATTTGAGTATGAAAATATTTGCAACTGTACAATTCTGATGAAAATGCCCATTTTTATAGTGGTGAGCATGGGAGATGAAACGGCGGGATTCGACCTTGACCGTTGATATGCGATGAATCTCAGTTTTCCATTCCTCCAGTAATCTTGACCACTCAAATGTCTATGTGTCAATCATCCACAAAAGGCGATCAACTGTCAAAATTCTATAGTCATAACTGTTGTCGCACATCGCCTCAACATTGCACATGGGTAGCTGTAGTGGCCCACATGCGACAAATATTAACTGCAAAAGCCAACTGCATTTAATGCGACATGACTGCATGGAAATTACTTGCATTCCCCTCATTTCGAATTCCAAATTTATCAGGAATAGTACAGCAAAAAGGTCTTGTTCACGTCTACTGAAGCTACGGCTCACTTATGAAGCTCGGCCAAATCTACAGATAGCACGCAACTTGTGAAGTTTGAGCTAAATGTCAAATCGAACAATTAGTCTTCGAAGCTCGAAACGAGCACTGAACATTAGGGGGTAGCTATGTTGTGTGTGATTTTTCCATTAAGCTCGAAGAATTCAGAATCCTGCAAGGATACAATTCAACCTATAATTAGTTTGGTTCAACACTTGTCCGACCCAGCATAAGCTCGTCGAGATATAGCTCGACCTAACATAAGCTAGTCACGACCAACTCTGGCAATTGTTCGACAAATCATTAATAAGCTTAGATCCCAAATATTTCAAAAGAGATCAGATTAACAGCATTGATGGTACAATCTTAGCGCACAATCACAAGAATATCGGAATTGTAATTCGAATTTGATTGCAATCTCGATGATTTCTCTCTTTCCTTGTTTACAAACATGTATATAAACCCCCTCCAATAGTGCGAGATGGGTTAGCAAATGATTCTAGGCATTTAATATTATTTTTATAAGCTCTCTAAAGCAATAAGAAAAACAATGGACGTAAGCTTAAGTTCTAACTTGCCAAACCACTTTAAAAATTGATTGTGTTCTTTACATTTACACATTTTTATATACAATTGTTGGTTATCTTTAATCACACACACATCAATTCTGATTCCACCAAAGTCAATTGGATCACTCGAGTTGGTGTAAATTTTGCATCAACAATTGCCAACAAATAATTTTTTTTTTTATTTTTTTGGTTGTTTAATATAATAATTCTATGTCATTAAAAAAAATTGCATGTTATTTGAGATTTTTTTTTTTAACTCAAAGTTTTTATTTTATTTTAATTCTTTAAATAAAATGTTATTTTATTTGTTCTTGTCATTAATTAGCTTATTTATTTGAGAGAGTTAAATATTAAATCTTGACCCTAAAAAGTTTTAATTTTAAAAGTACAGAAAAATAAGGATGAAAAAAAATAAAAATAAAAATAAAGATCCCTATCCATTTTGGTCCTCTGTATTTTTTTTTTTTTTTTTAAATAACTATTTCTTTGAATAAAAAGAACCAACAATCATAGTAGATAATTCCACATTCTTTTATCTATAAACTAACTTGTGTTTTTTGGCTTTTTTTTTTTTTTTTTTTTTTTTTTAGCTTTTAGTTTTTTTATTTAATAATAAAATCGTATATTAATATTACACACACATTCTGCCATGACATAAAATGATTGCAACCATTCACAGCCTAAAATTAAAAATGAGTAATGACTTAATGCATATTTTCTTCAGTCCATATATACTGAAATATTGAGTGAATACTCAAAAATAGGTTTCACAATGATTCTAGAGAACACCAAAAAAAAAACACCTTTTAAATTGTTTTTTAGACTTGAGACTTGTTTCTCAAAACCAAAAACCAAAATACAGAAATAATAAAACTTGGATGCTTCTATTTATTATTAGTCCTACAGATGAAGATTGTTATATTCTGTGCATGATTAAAACTTTCCTAAGCAAAAAGCCTTTTTCCAATATGAATTATGAAAATCAATAATAATATTTCTCCACAAAAATAGTTGCTAACATCCAATTTAGCTCTATATATATAAATCCAATGCCATTTAAAAAGCTTTAAATCGCGCTAAAATTACAAAGAAAATGATGGTACAAATCTACACATTGAAGAAATCAAACAATATCAAAACCTCACAACCTAATTGCCAGAAATTTGATTTTACAACAGGTGGGAAACCGAAATAAATATGATATTTTAAAAACATTTTCCAAATTTATGTTGGATTCATGAAATTAACCTGACAGTGTTGATCTATAAAATTTGCATTTCATCTTATAGAAACCGCGATATACATATCCCTCCTTCAATCCGAGGATTGTTTTCAGTTGAGTTTTACCCCTTGAACCGTACTACAATACAGGAGATGTCATCCTTACTGTCTTTGTTCAATGCCTCAGTTACTAGTTGCTTGGCTGCCCTGTGTGGATCCTTTATTTTTCTTGCAATATCAACTGCCTCTTGATTAGACATGACCTAAATTATTGCAAAAAAAAATAATAATAATAATAAAAAAAATAAAAAAAGATAAACAGAAGGCATAACTAAGCGATCTTGGAATGGAACTATAGAAATAGATGAATCACCTTCCAAAGACCATCACTTGCAAGGATAAGAAGATCAGTATCTGAATCAATATCAGCATCCTGTATATCAGGATCAGATCGGAGGTGTGATTTGAGGTTCTTGTCTCCGAAAGCACGGGAAACTGCCAGTTGTCCATTTACTCTAGCAACATCTCCTGGTGTAGCAAGCAACAAATATTGCTTATTATTACTAATACAGAGAGCACCATCAACCCATATTGTACACAGATGATTTGCTTTCAGATTATAATAACAAGAAGTACGTTTATAGACAGATTTCATCTCTCCATGAAAAAGTTGCATGTAGAATATTACAATATATCTAAATATTGAGCAGATTGAAGATGAAATAAACTACTATCATCTTATTACGTTGACACAACTATTTCAATTTGTGAATTGGGCAGTTTGGAATTCGTTTATCCAAAATTTGTAGACAGATAATGGATGAAGCTTAAATCTATTATTGTTGGGCAAGAACTACAATTTATGTATTAGCACCAACAAGGCTGTTAGCCTTTGACTAAGTCAATTGCAATCTACACATCTTGCTCTTGAATTTCTTTAATAAAATAACATTCAAATAAACAAAAGTAGTGATGAGCATGAGATGTATGATCCGGTATGTTCAAGTAGAAATGTCAGTTTGGGGTGTCTAACCTTGAGCCAAATTGCTAAGATATATATATATATATATATATATAAACACTTATGAGGCAAAAATCCTTTTGAGATATTTGGAAAATCACCACTCACAGGAGAGAAACTCAGTATTAACTGTCATTTCCATTTCCATTTTATTTTATTTTTTGTTCTGAAAACAGTGTAGTATCTGTTAACTTTACTATTTTCATTTTCTAATACACACAAAACAGAGAGTAAGATGTATTAATAAAAAATTGAAAATATAGAAAACATTAAAAGAATGTTTTTTAATGTTTTCTCTCTACTTTATCATTAATGCTGTTTTAAGAAAATGATAATAAAAGCGTTTTTGAATTTAACAATACAAAATTCAAACTTCTTATTTTCATTTTTGGAAACAAAAACAAAAGAAATAAAAAATAAAACCTACACAATTTGCTTCTATAAAAAGATGAATGGAGAGAGCATGCCCTAAAACAAACTAATACAAATCCATTAGGCATAAATGATCCACCCGACAATTGATATACTCAGACAAATTTTACAACACAGCTGAGAAATCTCATAAAACTTTCATCCATTAATAATATGGTAAGGGTTCAACAAGAACTTGGAAGCCAGAGGTTGGAATTCGCAACATGGTTTGACATTTCGACACAACACATTGCAGCCTGTGACTTGATTTAGTATTGTTTCAAAGAAAGGATCTTTATAATTATGTAAAAGCAAGGTCAATATTTCTCATATGAATCAGCTTCATGTGTGGTTCAACTTGTAGAAATTGTTTGATTTGTCAACTTCATAAGTTGCAGCTGGATTAGTCACATCAAGTTGGGTAATTTGCAATTACCTCACTTGAGGTTCATGAGGAGTTTCAGTAAAAACCCCCAATAGTTTATTAATTATAAGCTCAACTTCCTTGAAGACATGAAAATTAATTGATTTGGTGAAATTTCTTTTATAACCTTCTAGTATCTTGAATATCCATTAAAAAAATCATATTTATAATTTTTCCCCTTATAAATTCTTCAACTACTATGTATTATAATTAAATTTAACAGAAAACACATATATGTAGAACAAATTCGATTAGCAACAAAAGAAATAGATTTCACGACAATGGTAAAGTACATAGGATAAAAAGTGACTGTAAATTTTTTTATCTTCAAGATATGATTTAGAATTTTAGAGAAGCAGTTTTTATAAAATGAAAGATCATGAAATGTTTCCTTTGGGAAGGATATGGAGGGCTAGGAGTTGGGAATTTGGAGAAGAAAAATAGGGCTCTCCTAGCTAAATGGCTTTGGAGGTTTCCCTGAGAGAGAAATTCCCTTTGGTAGGAAGTTATCAAAAGCAAATATGGTCTTCAATCAAATGGAAGAAATTCCCAAGAAATTAAAAAATGGATTCATAGAAGTCCTTGGAAAACCAATTCTGAGTAATATCCTACATTTGACTTTCATTAAATTTAGAGGTGGGAAATGGCAAGGAAATTTATGGGAGGATATATGGCTTTGAGACTTAGCTTGATCAATGCTATCCCCTTCTCTCTAGTTTCACTGTTAATAAAGGAGTCACTTTTCATGCGTCTCTTCACTCTTCTTCAACGCATGGAAGTTGGAACTTAACCTCAAAAGAAAATTGAAGATGAGACAGATCGAAGAATTCATTAACCTATGGGGTTGTGGACAATGTTTCCGTTAATAAGTTTAGAGGAGACAAAAGAAAATGGAAGCTTGACTAGTTAGTTACACTTGCAACTCCTACTCTCAAAGTTATTAGCAGAAAATCCTGCACTTGATTTTAAAGAGTACAAACTAGTTTTGAAAAGCAAAAGGTCCTCCTAAAGTTAAGTGTTCTCGCAGACTTCAGTTCAAGGAAAACTCAATACAGCAGACACTAAAAAGTACCATCAAATCAACTTCTCCCCCCATTAGTGTGTTATGTTAAAAAATGATAAAAGAATCCTATGGCCATTTATTCTTTCACTGTACAGATAAAAGAATCCTATGGCCATTTATTCTTTCACTGTACAGTGACATCTTTAGTGACAATCTTTGTAAACCCTAATTAGATGGGCTCTTTTGGTGGTAGAGGATACTTGATCCACTATTTGAGGTTTTGTTTATCGTAATACACACCCTTACGTTCCCTATCAAAATAATGATAATAATAAATAAAAAAGACAAAAGAATCATAGATTGTTGGAATATCTTCCAAACTATTCCTTCAATGGCTAACCCAAAATTGATTCTCCATCAAATTAGCTTCTTCAAAAGATCACATGTCAAGAAGAACCCCATTTTCTGAACTCCTTTTTTTTTTTCTTAATGGTTCTCAAGCAAATTAGCTTTTCTACCATATCATCTTTTCTCAGAATTTAGCCAGGCCAAATTAATACCAATGACCTTCAGTTCCACTTCGACTTTACAACTTTCCCCTCAACTGATCTCTATCAAATTGTTTTCTTTACTGAATTCTATGCATAAAGCTTCTGCCAAATTTCAAACTCCATATCATTTCCCAAAACCTTCCCAACCATACACTAATTACTTTTAATCTAGCTGTTCAACTCCTTATCCAAGCAATTATCAACGTTTTTTCAAACAAACATCATAAGCTGGGGAATATTCCTGGATCCTACAACTTTTAATAATCAAGAAACCCATAGATATAACCATGGTAGGCAGCCCTCAGAGGAATTCAACCTCTGAACCCTGGTAGGAAACTGAAGGTCATACCATTTGACCAACCAATGGTATTAATAATAATTCATTGAAAGAAGATACAAATGTGGCCTAGCAAACCATAAATTCACAGAGGGGTCTACCCTATAGAAAGACTACCCAGAAGAACTTGTTACCCCTGATAAATGACACACCTTTCCAGCCAAGTATAATGGATTTATAAAAGTATTATAAGAATTTCGAAAACCCCTCAAAACCAATCTCCAAAATTGATGCCTAAAGCATAATCATAACTCCCAATTGAGATGGAAAAAAAGAAGAATCGTAAAAATCCTTTGAAACCTAAGACCAAATTGAATCACAAAACTGAATTTTATCCCACATTTTGCCACTATTTTCCTCTTTTTCCGTTCCAGAATTACAATTATATTTTTCTTTTCATATTACCCAAAAAGAGAACTAAAACTTGTGTACTTTCATTTAGTCCTGGATTTCTTTCTTTTTCCAAAAGCAAAAATATGCTCCATATGTATTGCATCACATAAGCCCTGATTGATTCAAGCTATTTAGGCTTCACTGAACAGTTAAGGAAGAGATGACATTAGTCTCTCCATTTCTTCTACACATCAGACCATGATGGCCAAAGGGCACATCTTTCAATACTTCTTTGCATTACTTTTCTAGTATTGAATTTTCCTTGACACCAAAGCCCACATGAAGTCTTGCATTATGAGGGGAACTTTAGCGGTCCATATCATTTTGTGTGGCCTATAAACTTCCCATTAAGAGAACGATCGACCATTCAAGACAGGACTTGCAGGAATAACAACCCAAAACCTCTGTCTTCCACCATTTTTCATCTACACTCAACTCATCAATATCAATATTGCTTATCATCTCCATAAGAGTTGCATATTCTTGTGCTTCCTTTTTCATTCAAGTTCCTAATAAAGTTGAAGCTCCAATGCCATGCAAGAGCAAGAGGGTGAAAACCACACAAATGGATAGAAACATTTTTTATGTGTAGGAATCTCTCACCCAAAGATGAGTATCCATCTATTTGTCGTCACAAACCTAAAACTTCCCTCCCTATTCTCACAATTAAGGAATGACAAATATAACTGGAATTTGCCACAACTGTTCCATCTTAGCACTCAGTTTCGCATATCTAAATCAACCAGCTTTCAACGGTTTTATGTTCCTGACTTTCTGCTGAAACCACATCAATTGTCAGTCCTCACATCCTACCTTTATATTAGCAAAATTCCAAGGGCAACCAAGTTGTTTATCTTACAATTTTCGCACTTCAGTATCCAAATCTGCAAAGAATTGGTGTTTAAATTACCTTTTTCCTTTATCATCATCTTCTTTAACATTATCAAACCATTGGACATGCACAAATTCTGTCCTCTATACCAGAAATGAAATTTTACACTAAAACATTTTTCTGCTCAACAATTGTAATCCATCACAAATCTGATAATGGCATGTAATATGAGTTTATCCATAAAAAGGTAGATTTCTTTTCTCAGCAGTTATTGTTTTTACTAAATAACACTTTATCAATCAGGCACCCCTTTTTATCCAAGCTAGATTTAAGGTAATTTTGAAATACATAAAGGCAACAAAGTCATCCAGCATAACAAACTTTGTATGTGCAAGACCATGGCACATGATTCAGAAATATTTCTTTAAATAAATGAATATATAGGCTAAAAATAGATGGTTGGTACTGATTCTTGTAGGTTCTAGTTAGTTTAGCAAGGAAAAGTCTCTTATAGTTTTACAAGAGGTCTTGGATCTTAATCCTAAACCCATTTTAGGTTAAGGAGACTGAGGAAGGTTAAAAATTATATATTATTAATAATTTTAAAAGGAGTTGACACTGATTCTTCATCACATTACACTACAGAATGCAGCCCTAGAAGTTTGTGGACTCATCTACACATACATACATCAATACCTTTTTAAGCACATAGTTATAAGCTTCAAGATTTGTCAAACTACCTGGCATGTTCGAGACAAAGCCACCTCTATCCTCAATGCTGCCTCGCTCAGTGTTAGGCTCATGATCGATACTCATCTGTATTGCCTGCCCTCCCTTTGAAAGAACTGCTCGTGAATCTCCAACATTGGCTACCCATAACTTCTGCCCATTTATTAGAATGGCAGTGACAGCAGTGGACCCACCTCGTCCCAAGTCAGGACTGTGTGTCAGAATTGCCTGGTCTGTCCTCTCATAGGCTTTGGAAATGGATGTGCGGGGATCAGTCCAAAACTCCTCCTGTAATTGATTAAAAATTAAAAAAATAAATTATTGACTGAGAAGGGCACCAACTACAGCAACAAAAGTCAATGCATAGTTTACTATAACTTAAGATGTGAGATATCAACTATTTTAAAGCCCTTTCTAGTATAGATTTTTCTTTAAATCATGAGGATTTATTTCAACAAAGGCAGATTAAAATTACTCTTTTGGAAGTCCAATTCCTGACATCATGACTATTAGAAACACATGCTTTAGCAATGTAAAAGTGATGGAACAATTTCAAGTCATTGTGGAATCCAAATGCTCCTTAAAGATTGTTCAAGCACTAGAAATATAATATCAAATCAACAACTTACATGCTTTAAGATATTGGGAAACAAATGCTTTTGTAGATAGGCAGGCACAGTATCTCCCAAATGTCCATCATATATGGCAAAAAGTCCAAGCTCATGTCCTCGGAATTGAAGAAACTTTGCAACATGAAAATCCTCCATTGGATGATTTGCTTTTCCTTTAACTAGGCTAAAACCATACTTGACTGGACCCTGATGGCTCCTACCCTTGCCTGAGCTAGATGAAGAGCGTCCCCCCACAACCTAAATAGATATTTTCAATTTTGTTAACATTAAAAAAGGGAAACCTAGAAATAAAGATGAATTTGCAAAACAAGAGATAGATAGTCTAAGCAACAAGAACAAACTAATCTAGAACAGTAGAGTCCAGAGAAAACCTAATAAAATGATCTAGCTAAAAGTTCCATGACAATTTTAGCACTAGTGCAAAATAACAAACTGAACTTGATAACCACAAGTATCAAGTTAAGTTATAAAAATGACCCCATCACAACATCAATTTCAGTTATCTTACAAATTAGCAATCAAAACAACCAAAAAATTAATCTTTAAAACAAGGCATTCAATTAAGTAGAGGAAACGAAAGGGGGTAGGAAAAATAAAATAAAAATGATAGTCAAAAGGACATCATTAGAAAGGAGGGGGGCGAGAGAGAGAGAGAGAGAGAGAATCATGTTTGAAACCTATTTCTTTGGAAAGAAAATTTTGCAGAGTAAGAAAACCCAACATGCTCCCTCTATGTTAAAGTTTTATAGAATGCATGTAGTCCAATTGCCATAATTCTAAAAATGTAGCTTTTGTAGAAATTTCAGCAAAAGCATGCCTTCTAGAACATGTATCTTAACAAGAAGACCAGAAAGTGCCCAGCATTAAAACAATAGCGCACAATTTCTTATAGACAAAAAGCAGTAGCTTTTCACTATTACTGAAAGTCAGTTCATCTATTTAATATCTTAATAAAAGAAATTGATACATTATATTGCACTGAAAAGCTTTCTCAAAATTTTCCATAACCATGACATGATTTCTGCAAATATCACAAAGTCCATGGCTGCATCACCATTTTGGCTCTTACAAGAATAAAACATAAGAATCCAAAGGTCTTTAAACTCTTTTCCCAATAATTAAAAACCTTGGCAAAACCCCCCAGAATCCTTAATATTAAAAACATTGAAATAATCTGAACTGAACCAAGCATCCCCACAGATTCAGTGAGAACGAAGAACACAATTTTTTTTCAGATCATAGAAGCTCCCAAATTAAGCTATTTGACTAGTAGAAGCACCTCAAAATAAAGTTTCCCGATCTTCAACAAAAACACTCCAATTTTAAGTAGTCTACATAACAAAATTTGTAAGTCAACTAACGCAAAAATTAGATCATATTTGCTTCCAGAATCCAATCAAATTAACACACCACGCCAATGAACTGAAAATTTTGCAACAGGGGATTTAAGAAATTTCCTAAACCAGATAGGAAAAAACGAAGGAAACTAAACAAAGTTAGAGATCTCATCACCTGAGAATAAACAGAATTGAAGCAACATAGATTATCCATATAATTCAACCTCAATTCACCTCCTTCTTCTTCTGCAATCACTCAACATCTACAACCTCTTCTACTAATCTCAAAACAAACAAAAATCATTCAATAAAAACCCCAAAATACTCCAGAACCTGCACCACCAAAAGCAAGAATTTTGATCATCAAGACAAAACTAAAACAAGCGAAAAACCTGAAAAAGCTAAAAGGAACAAGGAAATGAAGAGAAAAAAGCATCTTAATATCCTTGAAATTAACTAACCGATGGAAGAAGTTGCTGATTTTCCAAGGAAATGAAAGAAAAACAGCTGTACAGAAGTTGAATAGGGAATTCTTGATAAGGATATATACAAGTGTAGTAATAATTAAATAAAAAATTATATATTAAGTTTGTCTGTTGATATTAAAGAGAAGTATAAGTTGTATAATAATAACGAGGAAGGAATGGTTGAAGAAGTGTTTGGAGGGGTGAAGAAATGGCTGCCAAAAGCCAAGCCAGAGCTTGCCCTTATTGACTTTTTGCCAGTTTTATATTTTCTTACTCGCTCACACTGCTTTTTTTTTTTTTTTTTTTTTTTTTTTTTTTCTCCTTTATCTTTTTTTTTTTTTTTTCTCTCTTTTATTTTATTCTTCCATTCGTCTGTCTCACTTCAACTTGACCCGCTTGACTTTGAAAAATTTTCAAATGACAATTTAAATTTCACATAAATACTTTGGTCATATATATATATATATATATAAAATTAAATTTTTTAAATTTACAAAATACCTTATACCTCACAACTATACTAAACTTTACACAAAATTTTATACTCCCTCTGTTTCACAATAATAGTTGTTTTAAGGTTATGCANTCATCTAATTTCATTTTAAAAAAATATAAATATATGTATTATGTCAATTCTTATAAAATAATCAAAACAGTGAATTTTTACTAAAAAAATTATATTTTATTTTCTAATTAAACTTATAGAAGTATAATTTATTGGGATAAAGTTTTGAAAATATAGCTTTTATAAAAACATTGTTAGTTGTTTGATAAGGGATATAAGAAAGAACTTCTAGTATTGATAAATATTTTAATATATAAAGATAAATCAACTCAAATTTATAAAATATAAAAAGGATTTTTTTTTTTTTTGAAATTCCATACTCTCTTAAATAAGTTTAAAAAAAAAAACTTATAGATAAAACTTAGGGTCTGTTTAGTTCATTATTCTAATACTTTTTAAAATAATATTTTGAAAAAAAAAATAAATTGGGTAGGTATTACGATGTAGGATTTGGAAATTAACAAAAATATTTTATATGTTTGTTTATTTACTAAACACCCCTATAATAAAATATTAAAAGTTAACAAAAACACTATATATGTTTGTTTATTTATTAAATACCCCTATAATAAAATACCCCTAACCCACCCGTTAAATACAGACAGTCGGTGACCACCGTCAGAGGGTGGCCGGAGTCGCCGTATCGGCGCATGACCAGTTGGATCTTGCCGGTTATGAGCCGATATGGCCTTTTTCGGCCAGATCCATGGTGGATCTGGTTGGAAAATGTCAGATATACAACTAGATCTAGCCATTGACGGCTAGATCTAGCCGCATTTGGTCGTCAATGACGGCCAAAGATACGGTCGTCGTTGATGGTCAACAACGACCATATCTTTGTAGTCGTTGACGATTGGCTACGGCCAAAGATCTGGTCGTTGGCCTTTTCCGGCTAGATCCACCGTGGATCTGGCCTGAAAAGGCTAGATCGGCGTACTACCGACCAGATTCAGTTGGTAGTGTGCGCCATTATACCAGATACCGACCAGCTTCCAATAATGGTGGCCGGAATCTGGTAAATGTGGATTGTTGGGGTGTTTTTGTAATTTCTAAAAAAATTGGGGATGTTTAGTTAAATTAATAAATTTAGGACGGTTTAAAAGAAATTGAATAATATACAATAATATTTTAAGAATAAACCAATTTTACTATTTAATTTTATTAGAAAAACTTATAATGCTATTTGGAAGCGTGAATCAAACGGAACCCTAATATTTGAAAGAGATTTGAATAAAATTTATAATTATTTTATATAATTAAAGAGCNTTTTTTAAGGTTCAGTACGCCTTCATAGTAATTGCATGAAAATTGTTTAACTCATCTAATTTCATTTTAAAAAAATATAAATATATGTATTATGTCAATTCTTATAAAATAATCAAAACAGTGAATTTTTACTTAAAAAATTATATTTTATTTTCTAATTAAACTTATAGAAGTATAATTTATTGGGATAAAGTTTTGAAAATATTGTTAGTTGTTTGATAAGGGATAAAAGAAAGAACTTCTAGTATTGATAAATATTTTAATATATAAAAATAAGTCAACTCAAATTTATAAAATATAAAAAGGATTTTTTTTTTTGTTTTTTTGAAATTCCATACTCTCTTAAATAAGTTTAAAAAAAACTTACAGATAAAACTTAGAGTCCGTTTAGTTCATTATTCTGATACCTTTTAAAATAATATTTTGAAAAAAGTTAAATTAGGTGGGTATTACGATGTAGGATTTGGAAATTAACAAAAACACCATATATGTTTGTTTATTTACTAAACACCCCTATAATAAAATATTAAAAGTTAACAAAAACACTATATATGTTTGTTTATTTATTAAACACCCCTATAATAAAATATTAAAAGTTAACAAAAACACCCCTAACCCACCCATTAAATACAGATAGTCAGTGACCACCGCCGGAGAGTGGCCGGAGTAGCCGTATCAGCGCATGACTGGCTGGATCATGCCGGTCATGAGCCAATATGACCTTTTTCGACCAGATCCACGATGGATCTGGCTAGAAAATGTCAGATCTACAGCTAGATCTGGCCATTGACGGCTAGATCTAGCCGCATTTAGTCGTCAACGACGGCCAAAGATACGATCGTCGTTGATGGTCAACAACGACCATATCTTGACAGTCGTTGACGATTGGCTACGGCCAAAGATTTGGTCGTTGGCCTTTTCCGACCAGATCCACCGTGGATCTGACCGGAAAAGGCTAGATTGGCGCACTACCGGCCAGATTCAGCCGGTAGTGTATGCCATTATACCAGATACCGGCCAGCTTCCGATAGTGGTAGTCGGAATCTAGTAAATATGGGTTGCTGTGGTGTTTTTATAATTTCTAAAAAAAAAATGGGGGTGTTTAGTTAAATTAACAAATTTAGGGGGGTTTAAAAGAAATCGAATAATATATAATAATATTTTAAGAATAAGCTAATTTTACTATTTAACTTTATTAGAAAAACTTATAATGCTATTTGGAAGCGTGAATCAAATGGAGCCTTAATATTTGAACGAGATTTGAATAAAATTTATAATTATTTTATATAATTAAAGGGCATAATAATTAATACAAATTGTTAGACTTGTATACAATTAAGGGGTGTAGACGTGTAGTGTTGATGAGTAGCTATAATTCATTACAGCTGTTTAATATAGGTAGATGGTTTAATTGAGAAGAGATACACAGGTTAGGTCACCGGTGACTGTGGGGACCATTCTCTTACAAGTCAACTCATTTTTCAACGGTTAACTTGCTGCCATCTTTTAGTAAAGGACAACAACTTCTGGTTCTGGGTTATATTGGACCACACACAAACATCCAAATTTCTTCTTACTCTATAAACCATATCAAATCATAATAATTCCATATTGTCACGCACTTATTTAGAAGAAAATTTCTCAAAATCAAAATCCGAAAATCATAAAAAATAAGCTTGGAGCTCTTAACATTTCTACAAAGTTTAGTAACTAAGCTTCCCTAAATACAAAATTCAAAACTTTAGTTTATAGGAGGCGTTTGGATCATATAATGTTTTATTATAAAGGGATATTATATTAACAGAATAAAATATCACTTTGAAGATTAATGAGAAAGTTTAGAAAATGTGTTTGGTTGGTTCGAATAAATTAATTAATAATATATTTGGTTTGGAAGATAAATGAGTGGGTATGTTATATAAATTACTAAATTACCCTCCTTTTTAAATATTAATATAACAGTCATTTTAATTATTATTTTTTGAATAATTTCTTTTAACCCCCTATTTTTTTAGATTTAGCAAAAACACTATAACAACCAAAAACATTTTAAACTTAACAAAAGCACCCCTACCCACCCTAAGCCGCTATTGGCGGCCGTTGGCAGTGCCACAAATCTGGTCGTGACACTGATTAGTGCCACAAATCTAGCCGTGAAATGGCCAAGTCTTTGGCCGTGAAATGCCAACCGTTTCACAACCAGATCAGTCACCGTTTCACGGCCACATCCTTGGCCGTGAAACAGCCATATCTGGCTTTTTTTGGATCCGAAAAAGCCTCACCCGCGCACGGCCGACCATATAGGGGCAGTTGTACGCCATTATGGTGACTTTTGGCAACCTTCGGCGGCGGTCGACGGTGGTTGCTAGTGGTGGCTAGTTCTGCGCATAATGGCATTTTTGTAAATAATGGTAATAACAAGGGCAATGTCATCCAAAAAATTTAAAAAGCGAGGACAAAAGTGTTTGCATGGGTGATTGGGTGTTTTGTAAATATTAACAAATATAAGGTTAATTTGGACCCAAATGCTTAAACTGTTTAGGGGCAATATAGGGAAAAAATTGTAATACCAGGGTAAGTTTTAATAACAGCCCCACCCCCACGCCCCCGCCGCCACCCCCCTCCCGTATTAAGAAAATTTATCCCCCAAATGTTACTGTTTGTCATAAAATATTCTGAGAATAATTTTTTACAAACCAACCAAACATCGTCATTTGCCCAATTTAAAAAATATTACCTCAGTTATCTAATATTAACTCGATCCAAACGGCCCCATAGAGTAAAAACTTTCACGATATGTTGCACCTGAAATTTATTTTCTATATAAGAGAATTTCACAAACAACTTTTTTATTTTGTCAAATTGAAAACCAAGGTTTTAAACCCGGTCCGAGGTAAAACCCGGCAAAGTGGCTAGGCCTTGGGTTGACCAATTAAACCGGTTTGACCCATCATCAACATGTAAAAAAGTTTGAAATTCAGCTAAAACACCCCTAAAAATTACATATAAGTACCTACAAATTTGAAAATCCTACACAACACCCCAAATTATACTGTCTAGTCAACAACCTAGGCCAAATAAGTCTTGTTTCTAGCGTCAAAAACACACCACGTCACCATGAAAACTCTCCCCTCAGCCGCCTAACCAAAACCCATCTCACCCCACCCTCGTTCGCCTCGCTAATTGTTGATAACAACCTGTTGTTGCCACCGATTTATTTTGAGATTTTCGCTTGTTTTAGTCACCAAAAATCACCTTCATCACCATCTTTTGACTCACCAGCCCTTCCTCTTCAAAACCTCCAACATCCCATTCACCATTTGTTTGCCTATTGTTGTTCTAATTTTTAGGGCTTTCCATGAACATTTAAATTGGTAACTTTGCCCAGTGAAGGCCTCAGATC